CCCACTGCATGGGAGAACATATTTGCCAGTGTTATCCCTGATAAGGGTTTAATCTCCAGCATTCTCAGGGAACTCATGAAACTTAGCAACAGAAAGATAAACAATCCCATCAAAAAATGGGCAACAGACCTAAATAGACACTTTTTGAAAGAGGACATACAGAAGGCTGAAAGACATATGAAAACATGCTCAAAGTCACTAATCATCTGAGAGATGCAAATCAAAATGACAATGAGGTACATCTCACACCTGTCAAAATGGCTATCATCAACAAATCAACAAATGACAAATGCTGGTGAGGATGTGGAGAAAAAGGAACCCTTTTGCACTGCTGGTGGGAATGCAGACTGGTGCAGCCACTGTGGAGAACAGTACGATTTTCCTCAAAATATTAAAAATGGAACTCCATTTTGACCCAGTAATACCATTTCTATGAATATATCCCAAGAAACCAGAAACACCAATCAGAAAGGACATATGCACCCCTATGTTCATAGCAGCACAATTTACAATAGCTAAGATTTGGAAACAGCCTAAGTGCCCATCAACAGATGAGTGGATTAAGAAATTGTGTACATTTACACAATGGAATACTATGTTGCTGTAAAAAAGAAGGAAATCTTACCATTTGCAACAGCATGGATGGACCTGAAGTGCATTATGCTAAGTGAAACAAGCCAGTCAGAGAAAAATAAATATCACATGATCTCACTCATTTGTGGAATATAATGAACAACATAAACTGATGAACAAAAATAGAGCCAGATTCATAGAAGCATCATCCAACTTAAGAGGGAAGGCAGGGGAGGGAGGGAGTAAGAGAGCAACCAAAGGACTTGTATGCATGCATATAAGCATAACCAATGGACATAAGACACTGGGGGATAGGGGAGGCTAGGGGACGGGCATGTGCTGGAGGATGGGGGCAGTCGGGGAGAGGTCAATGGGGGGAAAAATAGACTTATGTAATACTTTAAACAATAAAGAATTTAAATTTTAAAAAAGTACATTTAGGGAATATAGTCAATAATATTGTAATAACTATGCATGGTACCAAGTGGGAACTGGAAATATCAGGGAACCACTTTGTAAAGTATGTATTTGTCTAACCACTATGCTGTACACCTGAATTTAATACAAAATAATATTGAATGTAAAAAAAAATTTTAAAAGAAAAAATAAAACAAAAATATCAGAATTTGAAAAAAAAGAGAGACTTTCAGTAACTTGCCCAATATTGTACCCTCTTAACACATCCTCCTGGGGTCTCCTCTATGAGAGGAAGGCTCTGTTTAAACTGGTTCTGCTATGTTAGCACTATGCCCTAAAGTTCTCTATAGAAGAAAAATCGGCTCTTTGAATAAGCAGTTTCTCTCAGTTAAAATAAAATGGTATACAAAGCACAGTAAATAAAAATGAAAAATAAATGATCACAATAGGGGCCTGCACATCCCTAAGAAGACAAGTAGCATCTTCTGTTGCTGATCTTTAAAACTCAAGGTCAAAGACAGAAGGCTGTTGAAGAAAGCAGATAGAGATGTAATGGTTCACACACATAGGAACTGCACTCATAACAAGGATTTGTTAATTACGGAATTGCCCTCCTAACACCTGATAGCACTTTGTGTCAGATTCTTGTGAAAAACATCCTGAGTTAAAAGTCAGGATAATTAAATACTGATTAATAGTGGTTGATTTTAAGGAGCAACACATCACAAGTTAAGATATCCAAATTCACTCTCTATTTTGTATTGCTTGATGCTCAGCAAACATCATGAATATACGTACAATTATTTTTTAAAATATTTGTATTGATTTCAGAGAGGAAGGGAGAGGGAGAGATAGAAACATCATTGATGAGAATCACTGACTGGCTGCCTCCTGCATACTTCCCACTTGGGGTTGAGCCTGCAACCTGAGCATGTGCCCTGACTGGGCAACAAACTGTGACCTCCTGGTTCATAGGTCCTCCTGGTTCAACCACTGAACCATACCAGCTTGGCTATAGGTACAATTATTTTGAAAAATATTCGATTTTTGACGAAAATTTCACATTAGCTAAATCTTGTGCTCTATCTCATCTCTTTAAAACTCATACTCCATAGCTTTTGATGGACACTTATTTTCTGGAAATCAAAACTTCTGTGAATGCCACATTCCACCCCACCTCCCACAGCTCCGTTTCTGTTCCTATATAGCAAAAAGAGTTGACTACAATTTCTCCTATAATACCCAATTCAGTCCTCATGCTGCATCAGGCTTTTACTCCATCCCCACCCCCCTCCCCCCGCTGTTTTTAAAGAACATGTTTTCAAGAACACCAATGACCCAGTGACCTCCTTGTTGCTAAATCCAGTAGTCAGTTCTCATCTCATTTGACCTATGAGAGGCATTTGTCACAGATAATCATACCCTTTGGTCATGAAGCACTTTCCCACCTTGATTTCTAGGACATCACACACTTGTGTGTTTCCTTTTCCCACCTTTACTGACCTGTTCTCTATCTTAGTTCTTCCTCATCAATCTGACCTCTGAAAGTTGGAATGCTTTAGTCTTTGCACATGGATTTCTCTTCTCTGTTTCCATTCACTTCCTTTGTGATCCCATCTAGTCTCATGACTTTAATTTCCACCTATGTGAACAACTCCCAAATGTACACCCCCAGCCCAGATATTGCTTCAGAATTTTAGACTCTTATGATCAACCCCTAGTGACATCTAAAACAAGAAAGAGTTCTTGGTAATTTAAAAAGTGATGAAAGTATTTTTAAGATGTTATAGAGGATTGGAAGATAAAGTAAAAGATACTGTGAAAAAGAACTAAAAGTCAAAGTTATAAGAATTTTTGAGTAAAATAATAAAAAGCTGAAAATCTATTCAATAAATTAAATATCCCATTACTAAAAAGTTATAGGAAAATGACTGATAAATGAAGAAAGAGAAATTACCAAAAAATAATGATATAAATTTTCTATAATTAAGAAACTTAGATCTCTCTATAAAAAGGCTCTCTGAATGCACAGTAGAATAAACTTTTTAAGATATCTATACTAATGCACCATCATTGTGAAATATCATCCCTGGAGATAAAGATGATCCTAAAAGTTTCCAAACAGAAAAACAGGGTAACCTGAAGGAGCAGTCATGAGAATAGCATATGCTACTGGACTTAAAAAAATTTGCAACACTGTAAGCTAAAAAATAATCCATTCAACAACGATTTATTAAGTGCCTGCTCTGTACCAGGCATTATGTGAAGTGCTGAATAGAGAGATGCCTTTGAAATTCTGACAAAATTATTTCCATCCTAAAATAAGATACTCTACTCAACAGACTAAAGTATATAAACAACAGCAACAACTGGACCTCTTATGAACTTTTGCTCAAGAAGCTGCTGGAGCATGTGGGTCACAAAAATAAAATTTGTAAATCAAGAAAGAGGAACTCAAGATTCAGGGAGTAAGGCATGTGGATGAAAGGGCAGACTTGCCAGGGTGATTGGAAGGTATGTCCCAGGACAAATATGGTTCAGATTAATACAGGGATATTGTGGGTAGGAGAGATAGAACTCACTATTACCTACTGTGTTTAAGTATTTTGAGAAGACTTTCAGAATTCGATTAATTCTAAAATTCCAAGGTAAAAGTGTTGGAAGTAGCAGCCTCTGATTTATGTTACAAGCTGTATAATAATATTTGACTTTTTAAATTAGGGTCATTTATTACTTAAGAAAATAATAAGCATGCATTTTTTAAAAGAACTGGATCAGGACCAAAATTTTCCAGTTAAGGCAAAAAGAAGATAGTATCCCCCCCCCCTTTTTTTTTTCGTAAATCTAACTTAATTTCAAAAAAGAAATTCATTGTTTTGTTTTCAAATAAACATGGTGCTTCCCCCCCCCCCAATGGCATTGCTATTGTCCTCTTTAGAATATTTTGAGAAGAAGATCATAGTTTCTACACACAGAGAAGCAGATTTTGCAAGGTAAGGACTGAAATGAAGTTTATGGCCTCCATAAACAATTGCATCATGCTATGCAGCCTGTATTTTCTTAAGAAGGAAGATAACATTTTCTTTATCAAAGCAAGCTAAAATGGGCTATAAATTATACAATGTCTGTCTTCTGGTTCACAGAGAACTACAATCCATCTGGAACCAAGTAGGAATGGCGCTTTATAAAGTCTCTCTCAGTAAATGTAAATTATAGAGAGAAGAATGTTTCCACCTTGGTGCACCCATAGTTCTGGGCAATTCCTTTTCTATATTTTGATCTGCATGGCAGCCAACTGACTGGCTATCACATACCCAAGAACATTTTTATATTTACTCCCCAATAAATAAAATTCAGTGGAAATAATAAGAACCATGATGAAAATAAGTGACTTTGATCTATCTAGTTAAAATGCTACTGTTAAAGTACACATTTCTTAGTGTACATATAGTTGGAACTCAATATCTGTAACACCATTATGGTGGTAAGAATATAAAAAGTTGGAAGTATTAATGTGTTCAGAATGTGAATAACCTTTTCACCTCAAGAAACCTGAATTCAAAGATGGTTAACCACAGAAGTGAAAATATCTTGGGTGGTCTAACACTAGACATTTGTTCTTAGTGTATTTGGCCAAAGCACAAACCCACCAAGGAGTCTGGCATGATGGATAATGTCTTCCTAGAAGATGCTTGGGATTAAGCAGGTTGTTTCAAGTCAGACCCGGGTAGAATAATTGTGGCAAGAATCTTGTGGAGAGGTTTATCAGGTCATAACAGGTCCTTTCTCTATGAGGACGTCATTAATAGAAGCAGCCTCCTTTGAAAACTGTATTTCACCCCCAATCCTCCTACTAATTACAATATAAAACACACTAAGAATAATCTTAAAGGCAGAGATAGGAAGGCAGACCAGCTGGGGACCTCAGGACTCAAAAAAAAGTAACACCAAAGCCTCGTATATCCCAGACAGGGAGATGAAGAAAATGGCATTTGAAAAACAAATGAAGTTAGACAAACAACAACAAAACAAATAAAAGCTTGCTCTCTTTAACAAAAAGACAAGGAAATAGAAAGGTTAGCACAATAGAAGACTTTTAGATAATTGTTCTACTATAGCAAAATGCCACAGTAAAAAAGAAAAAAACCTTGGTCCTATCCTTACCACACCAACCAAGGCTGAATGGAGAACTTAGAATTCTACCCTCACCAAGCTGTAACAAGGTGTTCCATCCCCATTCTCCAACCCCCCTAGTGCCAGGGTGAAATCAGAGAAAGCTGGTAGGAAACTGACCACCCCTCCCTGTGGTGTCAGTAGCAGCCAACTGGGCAATAGTAGGAGTGACCCCATAAAATCAGTGGAGGCCTACTAGGGAGTTGTAACTCCCATTCCTGCACAGTAGTCATGAGGAATTCACCACTGCTGATGTCAACTGAGGCCAGTGTGAACCTGGACTGCTATTTCCACCTAGCAATAATGAGACAGTGCCCTCCTAGCCCCTTCCCCTGCTGGAGCCATGTCAGAAAAAAGCCAGCTAAAACAGAAGGTTTAAGTAAGATTTAGGGTCTCATAGCAAAATACCCAGGTTTCAATTTAAAAAAAAATCACTCACCATACCAAGAACCTGGGAGATATCAAAGTAAATGAAAAAAGAGAATCCTCAGAGGTATATGCACCAAACAACAGAGGTACAAAATATATGAAGCAAAAAGTGAAAACAGAATAGACAAATCTACAATTAAAGTTGGAGGCTTCAACACTATTCTCTAACATTGATAGATCTAAATAGAAAATTAGCAAGGATATATAAGAGACTCAGTAACACCATCATTCAACAGGATTGAATCAATATTCATAGACCACTTCACAACAACAGCAGAATACTCATTCTTTTCAAGTGCTCACAGATTGTATATAAAGATGACCATATCCTGGACAAAAAAACAAACAAACAAATGTTAACAAATTTAAAAGAATTCAAACCATGCAGAGTGTGTTCTCTAACCACAATGGAATCTAATTAGAAATGATAAGAAGATCTCCAAATGGTTGGAAACTAGACAACACATTTCTAAGTAATCTATGAGTCAAATAGGAAGCCTCAAAAAAAAACCCCTTAAAAATACATTTAAACTAAATGAAAATGAAAATACAATATATAAAATTTGTGGAACACAGCAAAAGCAGTGGAATGGAAATTTATAGCACTAAATGCATATATTACAAAACAGGAAAAGTCTCAAATCAATAATAATAACACGATCATCTATAATTAACTTATAGAAAAACCGTGGGTGGTGTTCATCACGACCAGAACTGACTCGGAAGGAAGTCAGTCCTGCAGGGGTTGTCTTGGCAACGGCTTCACCCTCCCACAAGCTGTTTCCCGGAGCTGTTTCCTGTAAGGGCGGGGTTTGAGGCAGGGACCTGCCCTGGGATCGTGGAGGCATATCCTTCTAAAGTGTGCCACGCCAGCACAGTCAAGGGTGAACCTGAGTGGGGGCGACTGAAAGGCTTAGAAAAGACAGACAAGAGAATGAAAGCTGGGTCTTCGTG